CAAACAAGTGCTGCAGGTCGGCCCGGACCAGGAGAGTCACCGCTAACGTCATGGGACTCCTAAGCTAAACTGGTGTTGACAACCACACAGCCCGGCCTTCTTTTCCGTGCTGCGCAGTGACGCTTGGGTCCTCAGACGGGGCACCCGTTGGAGCAGTGGGTGTTTACATGACGCTACCCGATAAGACTGCCAGGTGCTTGGGGGGGAGGTTAGAGTGAGGGCTCTGCTTGCAAATCGCCCCGCATCCGTGAAACTAATGTAGAGATGAGATTAAATTTGCAGAGAGATACATTTGCAATTGATTAACGCTGAGCCACTGTGACAAATTACACTTTTGAGGGAGTGTGTGCAAGTCTTTGTGTGTGTGTGTGTGTGTGTGTGTGTGTGTGTGTGTGTGTGTGTATATGTGTGTGTGTGTGTGTGCCAGATTATTGTTTAAACTAGAGAGGTTGGTTAAACAACAGTAATTTACACATGACACATGATTCCGTGTATTTTAGGCACCAGATGTTTTTGGTTAAAAACAGAAGTATAACATTCAGATTTAAATAAATACTGATATCTTCAGGTGACGTTTAATGAGCCAGTGCAGCGTGTTCCACCTGCCTGCCTCTCCCTTCGAATACAAGGATTATAGAGGACTACTGAGCTTCCTCTGCACCCCTCTGTTTTGTCTGGTATTAATGAGCAATTAACTTTGCATACAAGGTCACGGACAATGGTATTGGTTGTCAGATTATGCTAATGCTCGTGGCTGTGGCTGCACTGAAAGAGGACAGGGAATCCCTGTGAAAAGGGAGGGTTGTGGCCTTTCTCTAAGATGAGATAATGATATGCAAACTGTACCAACATGCGCTTTAAGAGGATTAGGACACCACTCGACATCCATACTGACAACTGCTAATAAATGAACAGCAAAAAGGGAGCGATAAGTGTCCTGCTCTGGACAAGAAAGAACAATTCTGCTCCCAAACTTTTCATAGGTTGAAAGTGGAACTTGCACGCTACAGTTACGGACAGTTAAATGGAAATGTGAAATGCGTGATCTTAATGATGGGATTTGATGAGTTGAACGTGGGGGGTGAAGACGAGATCAAAAAACGATGACAAAAGCCCAACTGAAAGGATCCAGTGTGGGGTGAAGCAGATGAAAAAAGAGCCTGGGGTGAAACTAAGAAGTTGAACTCCCATGACCAAGTGAGGGGGAACAGGTGCAGCCAGAGTTCATATAGAGCGCTTTGTGCACTGATATGGCTTCAGTCCATTTGGGGAAGAGGGAGGGGCCCATGTTTAATACAAAGTTAATATCAATTTAATGCTTGTCACCGCTCCTCTGAATCTTGTGGCATTGCTAATTCGCTCAGTGTTGAGCAGGGCCTTGTTGCGGCGCCATGCGACAGATGCCGCAGGGACCTTTTCGGTGCCGCCGGTGAGTTGAGGTGAAGCCGCGGCCAAAACACCCCAAGTGGGAGCCACTGCTGAGGTGACGCCATGGTCACAAACGGAATCAGCTGAAATAGATGTTTGGTTAACTTCATATGGCAGGAGTGAGGATTCACTCAACAGTCACATCTAAAGGCTCAAAGAACTTTTCAGAAAGTTTACTCAAGTACAAAACTGCAGTGTTTTGCTTTTGGTCAATACTATAACCTAGATATTAGTATTTATGATTTTGTTTCATATAATCAGTCTGTTAGCAATGACGCATTAATGTGCAAGCAGCATTTTAATGTAGCTTGATGAAGTGAATCCAATTTTAACAATATGTGCTAATAATAAAGTTTATGACCAGTGCTTAATAGATTTTGTTTGCAAAATCTAAATCTGTAATTCAGTAATTAAATAAGGAAAGTGAAATATTATATCATGAAATTGAAATATTCAGTCTGAAGAATCTATATAATCCTAATGTACTTTTAAACGTCTCTTCCAGCCGCTCTAATAACAATATTCACAAATGTATAAAAGTCATGCTGTTGGTTTTGTATCTGTAATATTATTGAGTTGCACTTATGCATACTCACACACGACATGTTTTCACCTCATCTGAAAATGCACTGCCTGTTTATGGTGACGCCTGTGCCGCAGCAGGAGTCTGCTAAACGGTCAGGATGGATGGTGTCAGCTGAAATAAAGGCTCTCATTTACCAAACCCATGATTGGGGCTGGATGCGCGGGGCTGAAAAGGCTACGGGGCCTGAGATGGATGGACTGGTGACCGGTGTCATACACGAGGCTGCAACCAGTCAGCACAATCTGTTCATCCCGGGCCCAGTGAAAGGATGGGGAGTTCCCTGCTCCTCGGTGCGTCCACGTCACCGATAAATAATGAGGGAATAATAAACAGTTAACCACCTGTCGGACCCGCGGCACAATGGCACGGCCAATAGAGGGGCTCTCATGCATGGGTAACATATTTACTCAGCCCCTTTCACTTAACGAAGCAGAAAGAGAACCGAGACAATGGTTAAGTTCATCTATTTGGTAAAATGGCCCTGTCGGAAAAAAAAACAACTTCGATCATACTCGCCTGTAATGTCCAAACTGGAAATGATAACCCTATAATCTAGTGATTAATGAGTAATCCCATTCCAGAAGCGATAAACATCAGTAGATAATCCCTGTGGGGGTATTAACCTATAAGTGAGCATACACACTATAAAAAAAGTATGAATATTATATGATAAATACTCAATTGAATATTGGAATGACAAATGCGTAAAATTGCGCATTGGAAGCAAGTGGAAAGTGGAATTGTCTATAATTTGCAGCCTGGTGGAGCTGGTGATATGAGTATAAACTATAAATGATCCTATAATGTCATGTACATTTAAACTTGAGATGTTGAATCCCTGCAGGATCCTGCAGTGATGGCACCTCAGTGGGGGGAGGATGGGAGGAGCTGGTGCTAATATTTCAGAGATGTGCTTTTAATGGCTTTAATTCAGCCGCAGCCAGCTGTTTTTACTCGGCGTGCTAAAGGAGCGGGGACGTGGCAAGCTTGCAAAGCTCGTAGAAATTAGTCTCGGTCAGCCCGAGCAGCCCATGCTTCCTGCAAACCATCTGCTTACCGCGCACAAAGGGAGGATTTCGGGCAGCCAAGTAAAGGAATACGGGCTCATAAAAACGCATTGAAGGTCTCGTTACTTATTGGAGGTGTAGCTGTGGTGCCAGGGCGCTGCGTTAACGCCTGTTTGTGCGTCCTGCGTGCGCCAATAAAGCAGACGCACCTCTGATAAGCCCCGACTGTCTCCAAAAGGATCATTTCACGGAGGCGTTCCCTTTTAATTATCGGATTGTGGCTGGTGTTGATGTTGAACCACTTCTCATTATAGAGCTGATCACTAATGATGATTACATCCTGAAAACCATATTTTAAACTGGACTTAAAATTCAATTAAAGTTTGTTTATTATTAACACTAAACATTTCTTCTTTAAATCACCGAGTCGTTTAAATTATTGGCTGGTGTGAGAGCCCTAAAAATATCATCAAATATTTCTAATTATTTAACTATGATTTGATAAAGTCTGTGCGCAAATAAAACATAATTGCGCGCAGATTCATCACATTTCTTCACTAAGGGATGTTGAAAAAAACGATAAACATGTTTCAGCTAAAGTTTGTAGGCCGCAATAAATACATAAAAAAGTCGAGGGCAGAAAAGCTTGAATTAAAAAAAGCAACCATAAAAAATAGACTAATAAAATCAAATTATTAATAAACATTTCTGTTTTTGCGTTTCTTGTATGCTTTTAAATCTAATTCAAACTTTTCCAATTTGTTTTATTGGATTTATTTTAATTGGGTTTCAAACTGGCAACAATTAGGCCTTTTCATTTTTCCTTTTTCTTTTTTCTTTAACTCTTTGGGTCTGCGATGCATTTTTCGCCTGATCGCTTTGCTTTAACTGGTTTTCAGGGGCAAAGCTGACAGAACACGACGATCAGGCTCCAAGTCGCTTTAATAAGAGTTTTATATGGGGTCTCAGTGTCCGCTCATATGAATGCGTTTTAAATCAAATCACAGATGCACTTTTATTCAGCCGGTTAAAATAGCAGAACAAAACCGTCTTTAGAAATAAAGCTTTTTTTTATTCCACAGGGCTTTTTTCTGAAGCCGGGAGAGGGAAGGAGAGAAAGGCCGAGGGGCGCCTCCTCCGCAGCTGAGGGTGACAGTTAGTTCATGGTTAACAGGATCAGGAGCGCACGGCTCAGGCCGCACACTTCTCCTGTGCGCTCTGCGCCGCGGCTCCGCGCCCTGAATGAAGCCTGCGCAAAAAGAAAGTGATATTTAACACATCTGTTAAAGCGTTTTGATAGCAGAAATCCGTTTAAGACATTATTCCATGACGAGGGCCAGATTGAGTGTTGAGAATCCTATGAAACCCTAAAACTAATTTACATTTCAGATGCTGGCGTCTGCGGCGAATGTAGATGATGTGGATTTAACAATAAATATAATCACTTGTTCCATTAATGCTATCAGATGGTCCCAAGCCCAGTTGTGTTCACCTGTATTCACTGTTTATTTTTTCAACTCTCAAAACAGAATAAAAGAATAATTTAGCATTTTTAACGACTATATTTTGTCTCCCCTAACAGAGGCAGACTGTGAATGGAAGAGAATAAAGTATCTTTGTCAAAGTGCTGATTAAAAGTCCCCTGCAATGACTGAATCTGCAAAGATTGCTCTTTAATTAGGCCGCTTGCTTCTGCCAAACAAAACAAACTGAAAGGAAAGTGGTCAACATGCAAAATTGATGACTGAGCCTCTTTTGTGGTCCCTACATTGTGTGTTGCTTGCTTATGAAGTCTAATGCAATCATAAATTGCGTCCTCTGGCCAATCGGCGGGCCGGGGGATAGTTCATGAAAGCGACCCATGTGGAGAACTTTGTTGAGCCCCATTGTGAGGCTGTCAGTGCTGAGAGGAGGGCCGAGGGGGGGCAGGCTGCTATAAAACTCCTCTGCACACAGTGAGGGAACCAGAGGAACTACAGACATTCACACGAGTGATTCTCTCCCAGCTGACACGAGGAGTATTTCAGATTTCACACTTTTTCAAAGCCGGGACCATGATGATCCCCAGCGTCCTCGCGCCTCCTGCTTTCTACCCGGGGCTGTACCGTCCAACCGCGGCTCTGCCGCTCCACCAGACCCTGCCGTCCGCCTTCCAGACCCACTCCAGCTTCCTAGTGGAGGACCTGCTGCGTATAAGCCGACCCACCACCTTCTTTAACCGGACTGTTCCTTCAGCGAGTGCCTCCCTGCCCACTGCCACCACCACCGTGTCCTTCAGCTGCGCGCCCGCGGAACGCGCCTTGGCCACGACCGCGGTGACGCGTGAATCTTGCTCACCGAAAACGTCGCTGCCGAACAGCAAGGACCCAACTTTTCTCAAGTTTGGAGTGAGCGCCATCCTCGCACCTTCACCAAAGAGCGGTGAGTAGACGCAGTGTTTCCATCTCCACACTGAGTCTGTGTGTTCATGTTTGTTGTCTAACGCATGGAGGGTTTCTAACATGTGTGATGTTCCTCCACAGCCTCCTCACCCCCTACAATCCACAGCCTGCACTCCAAGACCTTCCCCTTCCCCTGCTTTGACGGGACCTTTCACCCCATATTCAGGACGCCTTATTTACCAGGTAGGCGCAACTGTTTCTCCTTCAGGCTGCCTTTAGAATTCTGTCTGAGCTAATTGCATTTAGATGTAAAACACTTTCAGCCCCTGTCATATATTTTACCCGAGATAGAGGCAGAGAGGGGGACAAGCAGCCAGAAAAGAAGAAATCACTGTCTTATTAAGAGGGAGCGCTGGCTCTGGCCCCTGGCCGGACCCACCCATCCACCCCCTAATTAACCAATTATCCCAAATCGTCACGGTCTAAATTTGAGGCGGGGTGGCGAGTTATAGTCCCCCCTGTTTCCCATTGGGGGCGTTTTGGCATTTTCCCGACCCACGTTTTCCCACAGCGCCCGGGGGGCCACCGGGCCGCTGTGGCGGGCAACAAAGCCCCCAGCACCGTGACCAATTTGGTCAGCTCCCACCGGGCGAACCACCCACACACCCCGGAGAGTGACTTTTACCAGGCGGGCCAAAGGCGTGAACCAGTCATGCACTAATTTCCCTATTAGGCGCTATTGAGAGTTTTCAATATTCTCACAAGACCACATAGCGCGTCGTTGTTCCTGATTCTGCTGCGGCCACAGGGCAGCTACAGTCAGGAGGGACTCCAGGCACCATTACGCACAGAGGGGACATGTCCTGCGCGGTGGGACTTTGCAGTAAAACGAGTTTTTTTAAAAGCCCAACTCCAAACCAACTCGCCCCAGCTGGGGGAAGTTTCTCTGTGCGTCCTGCAGCGCTCATAGGATAAGTTACCACTGACCCCCATTCCTCTCTCTCCCTGTGCCCTAAACGTTCCTCTATTCTCCTGCAGGGCCAATCAACGAGTTGAGATAAAGAATAATCTCTTAGAAAAGTCTATAAAGTCGCTAGTCCGTGCTTTCATTCAGACAAATCATAATAGAGATGGAGTCTTTTCATGGGCTCAGCTGAAAGCCTCAACAAAACAACTCCAGCGGCCTGAATAGCTTTTCGTGTTCATTTAATGAAAATGATTTGAGGGCATGAAGAAAAAAAAATGCGCCATTCCCCCTCCACTCTCCACTCCCCCCTCCAGGCATCAGTATTCTGGTATGCAGTTGTGTTTAGTTTGAAAGTGTAAATCTCCTTTTGTTGAGATAATATATGGCCTTCGCCGCCTGTCCAGAGTCTTTTCTGCGTTAGTTCATTACTACACAATTACCGTTCACGGTTTATTAACTCCTCTATCCGCCCTCACAGGGTTCCTTAAAGGATATGCTACCTCTTTACCATACCAATGCGGTTGGGGACCGGCCAATGTGCTAATTAGTCACCTCGTGCCATTTCACTCAAAACGGAGACGTATTGCACAGTTGCAAAGAGGGAAAACTTCCACTAAACGTTAAAAAGTGCGGCAGTATAGAGGAATCATTAGAAACAGAACATCTGAAGAAGTTTAAAGTTTAGGTTAAAAAAAAAAAAGACCACGAGCGTTAAAAAACCCTTTAGAAGTGTC